CTTTTTTTTTTTTCTGGTTTTGCTTTTTTGTAAAAAAAAAAAAAACCAACCACCTCACTGCTCCTCGTTCACATTTGGGTTCCCCGGTTCAGACAAGACGCTGGCAGAAAACATACACGGTCTGGCTAAAGTGACTTCCATCTAGTGCTGCACAAACTTCACCTCAGGCTGCGACATTTGGGGGTATTTCCATTACAGGGCAACATTCTGAGAAGCCACTTGCTCTTTACATAGGAAGAGAAAAACTCATGAAACCCCACGCAGAAGTCTGACGCCACCTCGGGAAGCTGCACATCTCTCTGCTCTCACACTGGCACGGGGACGATGGGTCTCCCACGATGGGGTTCAGGGTGCATCAATGCCACAGGCAAATCCTCTGGCACCACTGGGATTTGCATCCAGCCCTTTGTTTGCTTTTTGCTGCAAAGAGTCCCGGCTTCTTACACGCTGGAGTTATCCAAGAGCCACCCTGGGAAGTTCCACGCAAGGTATTTTTAAGGGTGTTTCTGATGCAGGCAGCTTCTGAGCCCACTGCTGCTCGGATTTATTGGCAGGACAGAGGAGAGGTATTTAGATCGCTTGTTTTGCCTCCTTCCCCCTCCAAGCCTGGTCCCCTTTGACCTTCCCCCAGGGTCAGGACAGACAGATGTTTTCTGCAGCAAGACCCCAGAGACTGCAGGTAAGAAAGAAACCCCTTGAAATGAGTAAAAAGACACCTACGCACCTTTGCAATTAGAATTAACCTCGTATCAGCGCTGACTGCTGAATTTCTCCAGAGTGCAGAGTATGAAAAGAGGATCTTGGTTTGGACCCAGAAAGACTACTTATGACTGTCTTGCCTCCTCCGCCCCCGGAATGTGCTCTTTGAGAACCGATAACGAGAGAAACAAATGACTTCAGCCCAGCAAGGCAGCTGGTCCCAGCTCCACAGAGGGAACCGCGCGAGCTGGTGAGGTCTGCAGCAAGGGAGCTGGGAGCAGATGCCAGAGATAAGCACGAAACAGCACCGTGCAGCTGCCGAGCACGCGGCTCCGGGACACTGGGTTCACACTGACACCTCTTTCGCTCTGCCGCAGTCCCGGCGAAGCAGGAACCGCGTCCACAGGTTGTGCCGCAGGACGAGCATCGCTGCTTCCCGGGCGGCTTTGTGCTGCTTGGTGAAACCGTGTAGGAGCTGCAGCCAGCCCGCTCTCCGCGCGTGGGCCTGGCGAGATCTGATAAACCTCGTCCCGACCAGGACCATTCTGCACGTTGTGCTGTCAAGCGCTCAGCGTGGGGAGAGGAGCCTCAGAAAAGCAATCAAAAACCCCCACGCTCCATCCATGCGACTACAACGCTGGAGCGCCCGCCCCAGCAAGGTGACAAGATCAGAAAAGCCGCAGGAGACGTAAATGACGGCATGGAAAGGGGGTCGGTGTGGGGAGGAAGGAGGAGGAGGATGAAGTCAAGTCCAGGATGTCATGTGAGCAAGTGAGTAAGAGCTGTTTTCTGCATCAGCAGGCCCACCGAGCTGAGACGGGCTGGCAGGGACGTGCTGCGAGAAAGGGCTCGGTTCTCCGAGGTGCTTGCGAGCACCGCTTACGCCCTCGCACACGTGGGAGGACCCGTCATGGGACAAAGTGCGAATTCAACGCAGGAGTCTCGAGGTGTAACTCTGCAGCAGGCTCTTACCTTGTCGGCTGAGTCCACGAGGTCTTTCTCTATCCAAGTGATGTCTGACTTTGCCTGTGGGACAATAAATGAGTGTCAGCACAGAGGGGCTGCGATACTCCGCTGAAGTTTTCCCGACAAAGTTGTTTAGCAAGACCAGGTGAGCTGATTAGAGGCACGGGCGGTGTCCCACCAGCCACCGCTCCTCGGGATGACGTTCAGAGCTGTGCCGGTGGCTCCGGGAGAGCACCTGGAGCCAGCTGCCGTTAAAGGCCTTGGTAAAGTCTGACGGGTGGTGGAGAAGGACACGGTACCGGCACTTGGTTCGACACACTCCCCAAGAATCAGAGCACCTCCACCAAGGAGAGAGAATTAATTTCTGGCAGGCTGATTAACGTCTAGAGCAGATCTTACTCTCAGCTACACCTGGACAAACCCCAAAAGCATCTGTTCTGGTCGTGGTGTCCCGGCTCTGCGGGGAAGTTTGGCAGCCCCACGGCGAGAAGGCTTCTCACCAGGGGCACGCTCAGCGTTTCTCAAGCAACCAGGAGGAACACATTCAAACAGCAAAACTCACCACAAACCTCGAGGGCAGGGCAGGGCCAGCCCCGCCGCGCTGACAGGTCCCCGGGCATTAGAAATGTCAGTTTGTCAGATGCAAGCCTGCGAACCCTTGCGGGGAGGGATGCAGAAGCATTGCAAGGGAGCTCAGGGGAGAACTGCTCCTCAGCTAGGATATGGCTCTTTCTCCCCCAGAGAACTCAGACTCAAGTGAAGAAGTAAGTTTTTGCAAGGTCAGTCCCCAAGCCTGCTGTGTTTTAATGAATGTACATTGATTTGTCATCACATCTAGGTGCTCCTTCGCCTGTTTTTGAGAGAACGAGCCAAGTTTGAATAGAAAAATCACCCCTGAAAAAATGAAATCAGATTTGAAACATTTCCTCCGAGAGTTTCGAGCCTTTGGCTGCGGAGGAGGCAGAGCTCAGGCGACCGTGACAGAAGGGATCCGAGAGCTCAGTTGTTGTGTTTCCAGCCGCCCTTTGGCGGCGACGGAGCCCGCAGCGCTGGCCGGGCTCTTCGGCGCCGGCAACGTCGACCGGGTGGGAGCAGCGTGAGGCAGAGCGACCCGACAGCAGGGCGGGAGCTACGGCGAGGCGAGGGAAGAAGCAGCAAGCCTTGAGGGAAAGGAGGGTCTGGGCGAAAACGGCGAGCTTAGAGTTAAGGATTAACTGATTCTCAGCTCCGGAAGGACTGAATCAGATCGGAGGGGGCCCTGGCAGTCACCTCTTCCCCTTCCTTCCCTCCATCGCTCTGCCCTTGCTGTGGGAGCAGCTGAGCTGTCTCTGGCTCTGGGAGAAGGTGGCTGTCCGGCTGTCGCCGTGGGAAGCAGATGCCCAGGGCAGCCGGCTGACACAGCTACCAAAGCCATGGGCAAACCCCTTCCGAGCACCCAAAAGCGATCCCCAAAACCTCAGCGGATCCCACCCACCCACAGGGAAACCAGCTCCTTCCCGGCCCCTTCGCTGCCCCGACCAGCGAGCAGGCACCAAGCTCTGCCTTGCACTGGGAGGGACTGGTTTCCCTCCCACGAGTGAGGATCTCTCTGCAGGTCCACCCCACCAGCCCACCACCTCCTGTGAGCTACCAGCCATCTTCTGACACCCGCAGCCTTGGGAGAGGCCATTTTACACAGACCTCTGCACCGCTGGGAAATGATATTGGCTGCTCCTGGGAAAAAAAAAGACACCCCAGCCACCGGCCAGGGCTGAGCCCAGGAGGAGGAGGAAGGCGGAGGAGGAGACAACTTCTTCTGAACTTCCCAGTGCTGCCTTTGACCTGCACAGACGGCTTAGTCATCCCAGAGCAGGGGGCTGGGGACCGACCTACGGGTTTGGGTTTTTTTCCAACACCAAGTTCAAAGCACAAGTCCTCGTCCTACTTTCCCCTTTTCCGAGGAAGGATTTTACAAGCCAGAAGCCAAGAGACAGGTTTGTTTTTTCTCGCATTTTGTCGCTTTGCTGGTTGAGACCCATCTAAATGCACGAAAAAAACCCCAACCCTGCAAGAGCTAGAAACAGATTACGCTTTTTGGCATTTCACTTCCTATTCATCAACAACTAACCAGAAGCTGTTTTAATTTCTGTTGCTTCAACACATGCTCTGGTCCCAAAACACTCCCAAATTCTGGCAGCACCTAGGAAAGCCGCTTCTTAGAAAGCAGTTTTACCGTCAGAAATGCCTTTTCCAAAAAAGCAGTCGTTAGTTAAAACCGGGTAAGGTCTGGCTCTCTAAGGTCAGGCGATTCACCAGCTTCTGGCGTCCCGCAGCAGAGACAGAGCACAGCGCTGTAGGCAGAGCAGACATTTTACCAGCTAGACACTTGCCTCCCGGATCCTCGGCTTGCTGCGGAAGAGGAGCCTCAGCATCTCCACAGCTTTAGGCTGCTATTCTCCCATGCTTTGCAAGCTGGCTTCTGAACTCAGAGCACTCTGCGGCACCCAGACCAGCACGAGAACCCCGAGTGTAGTAGCTACGTCACCGGGATGTATTTTGGGAGTTTTTGCTGAAAGGAAACTGCGGTTTCGTATGGGGAAATTGCATTGTGTGGCGATGGCTGCACAATACCAGCAGCCACACGAAAACACTGGATGGCTTTAAATGTGCTTAGGCATGGCTCTTTCCATCAGCAAATCTCAGCAGGCTTTTCAAGAGGATCAGTACAGTCCCCCACGTCACAGGCAGTGAAACAGGCATAGAAAGAGCAATTTCAGTCGCTACATGAGGCAGCAACAAGCACCTGAGAGTCTGCATAGCTCGCTGCCATGAAGTTACGCCGCCCCTGCTCCGAGCAGCACAACTGCTGAGTCCAGCACCAACATTCTGCCTGTAGGATCAGCTGAATTGCAGGTCACAGAATCACAGAATCCCAGCATGGCAGAGGTTGGAAGGGACCTCTGTGGGTCACCCAGCCCAACCCCCTGCCCAAGCAGGGTCACCCAGAGCAGGCTGCACAGCACCGGTCCAGGGGGGGCTGGAATATCTCCAGAGAAGGAGACTCCACAGCCTCCCTGGGCAGCCTGGGCCAGGGCTCCGTCACCCTCAGAGGGAAGAAGTTCTTCCTCGGGTTCAGCTGGAGCTTCCTCTGCTCCAGTTTGTGCCCGTTGCCCCTTGTCCTGTCGCTGGGCACCACTGGAAAGAGTCTGGCCCTGTCCTCCTGACCCCCACCCTGCAGATATTTATCAGCATTTCTAAGGTCCCCTCTCAGGCAGCTCCTGTTTCCTTCCCTGTTTGTCCCTGCCCCATGTCAGAGTCACTGCTTGGTTATCCGCCATATCGGGGCTTTGGGACGCTGCTTCGAGGCCCCACGTGAGGTTTACATGCTGACTTCTTCTGGGAAGGTTGCACAATCCTGCCTGCCCGCTCAGGGGTCGGCTCCTGCACCGTGACCCTGCTCCGCACCCGGCTCCTGCACATCCAGGGATGCCTTAACGCGGCCAGAGCGGGAAGGAGATGGGAATCGGCCCAGTCGGGCGGTGCGGACACGGGGAGCAGAGCGGAGAGGGAAGAAGGGGTTCAGCCCTACGGCTTGGAACCAATTCTCTCCCAGTTTCTGCGTTTGCAAGGAAGAGCGAGCCACGTGCTTACTCCCAGTTCCCGTCAAGAGGCCATCTGCGTTTCATCTATGCAAAATGGATGCCCTAGATGGTTTCAAAAGTTACCCAGCTGTTTCACCAGTGTCACTGCAAGGTCCTTTGCTGTTCTACAGAATCTCTTTAGCTGTCCCCGCTCCGTACCTTAAAAAAGTCACAGTTCCTGATGAACTCCTTTCCAGATCCTTGCAACTTTGGCAGCTGCCAAGTTGCTTAGTGCTGCCCTGGACTGCAGCATTCAAACCACTGCCAGGCTGCAGGTGTGCCTACGTGGAGCATCCCAACAGCTCCTTCCCACTCCCAGAGCCTGTTTCCCGGGGGGATCGCTCCCTTCTCAGCGGCAGGAGGCACAAGGGATCCCAAAACAACTCTGCAGCAGAGGAACACAGGAGCTGGAGCTTACATTCGGGCAGCTACAGCTTGTGCAAGGAGTTAAAGCAGCTGCAGAAGGCGGGCATGCTGTGGCGTGAGACGGGACGATGCAGTACCCTGGTTTGTGGCCTGGCCTCTCGTCGGATCGGTTTTCTAAGCCGTGTGTTAATATGGGCACAAGGAATTGCATCGTCACCCCGTCCTGCCTTGCCAGGGGCCTGGCTCAGCCTACCTTCCCCTTTTCTCCCCTAGAATCAGCGCTTCGAGTTCCTGGGGCTCTTCATGGGGATGAGTCTCATCCTGAAGCCCCTCTGCTAAACCTAGAGACCATCGACCAGTCTCGGTCAGAAGCAGAAGCCACCAGCTCTCTGCTTCGGACGCAGCTGACGGCCACGGAGGGAAAGGCAAAACCTCTGTTGTTTCGCTGCCTCTGCTCCCAAGAGAAGGGACCAGAACCAGGTAACGATCCCAGCATAAGGCGATAAATCTAAAGCGAGAAGCCAAACCAAAGGCAGCTGCACGGTCTAAGGACAAGAGACACGTGGGCCTGACCGCAGCAAGAGCCTTCCTCCATCACACTTCCAAACGGCCTTACACATCCCGGGCGAGTGTCACACTTTTAGGGCAGAATTAAGTTGCTTCTCGGCCTTATTCCATATTTTTGAGAAGCAAAAAGCTGGGTCCTGGGAGAAGCACGATGCTGCTGTCTGAGCAGCCGTGGGCCAGACGCTGGTACCCAAGTGCCAAGACCCGGCTGTAAACGCTGCGTGAACCTGCTGTCACTGGCACGTCCGTCCTGGGAACGGGGATCCCTGAATCCAGCGGTGCCAGAGGTCCCCAGCACATGGCTTAAGACGCTGCAATCCAGTTCTGTGTCAGCAGGCAAGACCGTAGGGCTCAGCTCCGGCAAGTCCCAACATCAGCTCCATAAACCAGGACACTTGCTAACCCTATAGATTTAAATCAGAATAACTGGGGACTGCCTTTGCCCCCTGCCAGGACCCAGTTACATCCCACTGAGCACTGGGAACAGCACTGGGGAGGGACGGGTCA